GGTTTCGATACCCGTGGTGGGCAGAACACAGATAGCCCATTGTGTAGCTTTGTGCTTAATTACAAACAATCAAGAATCTGAAAAACTTGGAAATTAAATATCTTTGACTTATCAGTTGGATATTTTCGTTACTATCGGTATTTTCATCCATATTTCTGTCTTATGACGTTCAGCCATCTTTGAAGACTTCGAATAGGCCTAAGTCCCTATAATAAGCCAGGAGCTATGTAAAAGTATGATTATTATAATTGATCAAATTATCAAAGAAGCTGAAAAATATAAACAAAATTTAGGTCAATATAATTTTCCGATAATTTCTTTGGAAGAAAACAGGAAAGTGGTTGTTATCAATATACAGCCAACAGTGAGATGTTAAAGAAAAATACTTTAAATATTTTTTCTTACACACAAAACGAAAGAACTGACGACTTGATCAGTATCACGTAGAGGTTATTTTATGCAAGTAAACAATTTAAAAAATCACGTATTGTTCACCTATTCATCTGTTTCAAATAACAATAAGAAAAAGTTATTTTTCGTTTTAAAAATATGTGTTATATGAAATTGCAAAGTATTAAGAGATTGTTTTATCATTCTTTTAATGAAAGATCAGTTATTAGATGAACTAAGTCGTCTGAAATACCTTCTTTTAGTTTTGCCCTTCCTCCCCCCTCGGTGACTCAGCGATAAGTCTGAGGGCTTATGACACTAAACATCGGGTGGGCAGATAACAAATAACCCCTTGTGTAGCTTTGCGCTTAAAAACAGACAAACAAATCTTTTAATTCAGCTTTATTTCAAAGCGTCCGTCTTTTCCTGCTTTGCTTGCTGGGGAAAAGCAAGATGTACCTTTGGTTCTGTGTGTCTTGATTCCAGTAACATAATTTTTACTCTGTATATTTAGGATTACCCAAACCTCAAACCATTGCTCTTAAGCATATAAAATGTGGGGGTTATGTTCTCCATTTCGTGTATTTTATTTTTGATTAAAGTGAGTGACATTTAAATTGTGCTTTGGCCGTATTACTGATTAAGCCAAATAGGCCAAGCCCTATGAAACTAGGGTTTGAGTGGCGCTACAAAGGTCGGATCACTGTTATTTGGCATTGACTTTAATATCTTTCCCTTTTACATACTGATTACTGAATTTCGTATCCCACCATTATTAGGCTTGGAATAATTTGGTCGTTAGGCCGTTCGACTCGAAATCTTCGAATTATGGATTCGAATCTCCTCATTGAACATGCTCGCCGTTTCACCTTTGAGGGCGATATAATGTAGCGATGAATCCCACCTTTCGTTAGTAAAGAGTAACCCAAGAGTTGGGGATGGGTGGTGTTGAATACTCACCTTATAATAAAAAATAATTAATAATAATAATAATATAGTTAAAATACAGTGCAAAGTATCGAAAAATTGTCGAAATTCAGCAGAGCTTAGGTGTGGTAGAAAAATACAACAACCTAAATAATTTAGGTCAGATTGCGCCATTTATAACAGCAGATATAATGTACTTGACATATACACTCTTCTTAACGTTCACTGTAAAGTCCTTAATAATAATTATTGATGTGGTCTTATTCCGTCAACGCTGTGGTCGCTTTATATGCTCTGGGCTCAAAAAGACTAGCCTACTGAGCAGGTTAATTCAAGAAATAATTAATAATACATGGGGTTAAAACAAATAGATAATATACTGCTCAAAAATCCTTACCCTAATTTTGATGAGTTATGAAATAAATAAAGATGACGAAAAAATAACACTCCATCATCTTAATTCAGTTTAAACCATAACAGTTTAGCAGTTTGCTAACATAAATAGCGTTTCAACCACTACTGTGTCTGTCGTAATTTTAGCTTGCCTGAAGAGCCCTAGATATTGGGCGACAGGTCTCTTCGGTACCGGATTTATCAGGTATAGTGTTATTGAGATATTATTACACATTCTTCTTTACTTTCACTCGGAAATTCTTATTGGCAATTATGGAGAATAAAAATTGGGAGAAAGAAACACGAAGTGGTGCTAAATCAGTTTATATATATATACTTGATCTGTACTTCTCTATTGCTTATTCCTATGTAACTGACTAAACAGATGGTTATAAAGGAGCTGGGAAGCACCCCTTCCCACCTTTTTCCATGGTCTTGAGCCCCACATAGTCACAATCCTGAGATGATTTGGTAGGTCAAATAGAATAATACACGCTTCTACACGACCTAATTTTTAATGAAATCCAGCGTTAATGTTTTAGTTCTATTAAAAAATCTTAAGGCCTAGTAGCAGAAATCTCAGAAAAATGATTGAGAAAAAATACAGTGGTTTAAACTGACCATACCCACCTCTGGTTTGGGGAAAATGTTATTTACCCACTTCTCATAATTGACATATATAACATTTATCCACTTTTCGTTTGACGAATGTCACGTTTACCCACTTCTCATTTGGAAAATATGACGTTTACCCATTTTACGTTTAAGGTTTTGCCTCCGCTTCCACGACCCCGCCTGATCCCTTAACCACCAAAGAGGATAGTTCCTCTTCCTACATCATCTGAAGTGCATCAACGTCCTTTCAGATGTCTTGTATTATATACCAACGATTAATCTTCATGAATGAAGTGACTGAGTTTACTAAAAGCCTACTTCATAAACATCATATAGAACTAATGTAGAGCAATGGTTCCCAACCTGTTTCTAACAGGGAATCATCTAATTCCGATCCCAAGGTCTTACGTACCACCTTGTACAATATTAACTTTTTAAAGTGTTTTTAAGTTACATTGTGGATTGGAGGTTGAGAGACACAGCTAAAGAGAAAACATTCTGCTAAGCGATGCAGATATTTTCCTTTTAGCAATTCACACGTTATCCTTTTTATTGTATAATTGTCTATAGTTTTTAGAGCTGATCTTTAATTGAAGGTAAAACTAACATATTAACATTTTTTTTCCTAAGTTTATCAACTCTTGCACCATTTTCAATAAATATTCCAGTAATTGCAGTTCTTCTTAAGCAGATTATTATTTTTTTTTTACATTTTAATTGCATGATAACAATTTCACACTGATTTTGTTGCATGCTTAATACTTAGACCTGAATTTCACGCTCGGCTTTAAATCCGTTTTACCGCAAAATATTATGTCGCAGTCGAGAAACAATTGTAATCAACTACTTATGCTTTAGGAGAATTTCATAGGCACGTTCAATCAGTATAACAAATCTGATAAGAAGGAGATATAATGTAATTTCTAGTGTTCTAGTCGGTGGCCTTCTCAGCTTGAGAGGTGGATCAGCGATGAATCTGGCGGCTTATGACGCTAAAAGCGGGTTTCGATACCTGCGGCAAGCATAGCAGAGTTATTCCATTGTGTAGATTTGTGCTGAAAACAAACATACTTAATTTGTGTTGCGGCTGAACAGAAAGACTGAGGACTTATAACTATGAAATTCTTGGAAGACGAAGATTTAATCTGTATTATATTTATATATAATTGATCGAAAAAGATCCTGGTTATCTCTTTTGGTATTGTTGTTCTTTTCTTTTCTCCAACCTATCAGACTTATTTCAACAAAAGTAATTTTTATTGCTACCCATATCCGTGACATTAAATTTTCATCACGCATTTGCAGTAAGTTAAGGATTTAAATGCTGCAACATTTTAGAATATCAGTTAGAAGTGAAATTCCTAACCCTTGTTTCCTAGTGACAGTTTTTCTAACTTTGAAACTTTTGACAGTTTGTTGAAAATTTTTACAGTTTATTAAACTACGGTTACAACTTACGAGCTAGTTATCCTTCTTACTATAATGGACGTGGCGTGTATGTCAGTATCTATGTATGTAACCAAAACTCCTTCGACATATATTTAATGGCACCACAAACAAAATTCCATAACAAATTTCACACTTTGGGTATTCAAGATTCAGACATTTAGAAAAATAATTGTGGTAAGAGCAACGAAACATTTCTTTGTAATAGAACACAATTTTAAATAAAAGTAATCTCCTCAAAACAAGAACGTGACTTTCGCTAGGACTGTACATGAGGGTTTGGTTATATCTTTATTGGTGTAATTTTTAAATGCAGCACTAAGAAACTAGAATTCTTAAAAAAACTATTATTTTTTCAATGAACGATACCACTTTTAATATATAAAAACATTACAGTTTATATTGGTAAAACTTATGAAAATTTTGAGCTCTGTACATTGAATCATTTTGATGCAATAAGTTGCGTATGACAAAAGATTGTGATCCGAACATTTTTCCTGTGCAGTACTTCCCAGGAAAAATATTAATTTTTTGGGGGAAAATGTCTTTTCCTAATTTTTTTTTTTTTCAATGAGGTGTGAATACTACAATTAGTAATTAGCAGCACAAACAGCCACCCGTCGGGCGGCGTTTCTTCTAGTATTTTGTAATTAATTCACATAACTTTCAATTTATTCTTTGTAACTTTGTTTTTTTTACAGTTAACATTTTTAGTGTATTTTATTTAAATTGCACCAGGGAATCATTCACTGAAGAAAATTTACATCAGTTAAAAGATATTGGAATTAACTAAAAAGTTATAGCATTCTTTGAAACGCTAATACATTTTTCGCTTACTTTTGTAACTTCAGCCGTGTGTCAAGATTTATTATCGTAAGTATTTTGCTTTAGTAAGCTATTTTCATCCCCATTCGTTTCCCGCAGCGGAACAACGGTAATAAGTTTACGGACTTACAATGCTCAAATCCCGGATTCGATTCCCTGCTGTAGATAGAGCAAATAACCTAATGTGGCTTTGCTCAAAAAATAAACAAACAAATCTTATCCTCTGTATCATTAAACCAATAATACTTATACAATGATTATAATAACAATATTTACACATTAATTATAAGAACGATATTTGGATATTAATTATATCAACAGTGTTGACAACTAATTGCCCCCTAGTGGCACAGCGGTATGTCTGAGGACTTACAACGTGGTGGTCAGAGCACAGATAGCCCATTGTTTAGCTTTGTGCTTAACTTCAAAACAAAACAAAGACAACTAATTATTATATCGTTCACACGCTAATTTTTATAACAGCAATTACACAATAATTATAATAACGATACTTACACACTAATTATAATAACTACATTTACATATTAATTATTTCTTTGTAATAGGTAGTCACGTTCCTTGAAAAATAAAATATGTTCTTTATTACTTAGTAGTTCTCATATTTCTATGCATTTCCTTTTCTTCGTTGATTAGGGTGGTTTCTCCGTCATAATTTCTCTACTGGATGGCACAACTCTACACGTCACAAGTTCTGTTACCGAAGCTTTGGGATATCCAGAGGTATGGTTTTACTGACGTTAACAGTTTGAATTACTTTGTTTAAATGTATATGTATTTCTTTGCCATGCAGAATAAAACGTAGAAATTTAATGCTATCGTAATTCTAGTGACAAGAGCACTATGTGCACTCATGGGAAAATGATATCCTTCCAATTATCTCTAAACAGCGGAACCGACTACAGCACGCTTGAAATGTAATGCATTATATTAATTTTGTCATCTTAAAGATTTTTCTAAAGTCCTGCAGAGAATGCATTGAACGATTTCACAATAAATTTCTCTAGGGGATGAATGTCATTTTAGACATTGTTTTGATGTAAGAAAAATATCTTGCATATATTTCAACTGAAAAACTTGTTCACTGATGATAGGTAACGATTTTTATATCAACGTTCATGTCCGATTTCTTAGTGTAAAACAGGAACCTACTGTGACACTGATCTCACATTAGGGCTTTCACTTTATTTCAAGTTTCATGTATATAGGTGCAAAATATCTGTAGTCTGATGGTCAGAACCTGAAAATTATATATAAATCACATGTTCGAAATTCTAACGATTGATGAATTAGATCATGTACTTCTAACTCCTGTAGTTATGTATATCAAAAACACAAAATATATACATGTCCGAAACTTATGCATGAAATACCAGCTCATCGGAAGTGAAAGGAAAATAATTCCTCATGAATTGATAACAGCGACCAAAGTCTGTGATTTTCAGTAGTCTTTATTTTACGTTTAGTTACATTTCCCGGTGGGTCAACGGTAAGTCTACAGACATACAACCCTAACAACCAGGGTTCGATTACCCGTGGTGAACGCAAACACGCAGGAACTTTTGTTTCTTATTTGGTGCTATTAATAAAAAGGACATAACTCCAAGAAACGTATTAAATGTTGATTCAACAACAATTAAGTAAATTATATTTGTTATTTACCGTGAAATTTGTTAGTTTTTGCTTAATATCTTAAACAAAACGATGTTGAATCAACGTCCAGTTTCATCAAAATCAATAAAAGAAACGTATACGTATAATATGAAACTTAAAGTTAACTGATGTTTAATGGAAAACATGTTGGTTTGATTAAGATAACGCAAAACAGAAAGGTCTATCCGTTTAAAGAACAGACATATATTTATTAGTAAATTGGTTTTGTGTACAATAACCTGGCACGTAAACTACGTCCTATCTGTTCAGAGTAATTTCTTATCTTATAATGCTGGTGATCTGCGAGATTGAATAATAAGTAAAGTACTGAATGTCTATTTTCTAGGACTTCCTGGTCGGACAATGTCTTACCAACTTCATCCATCCCCGAGATCGGGTCACTTTTCTCAGTCACTTGACCGAAGGACTTAATGTTCGCTTTGTCAAAGAAAACAAAGGTAAGAAATCCTATACTTTTATATGTTTTACAGCATCGCAGAATATTCATTTTGTGCACGATCGTTTTGCAAAATGTTAGCATTTCACTTTGTTCAAAATGTATTGATATTCGAATATTTCTTGAGTGTTGAGAAACACAGCAACTGCATGAAAGAGTCTATGTGTATCTTATGTCGAATTATCGTTATAAAGAACCACAGAGGGCCGGGAGTGACTAAATAGGTAGCATGCCCTGACTCTGAATTCGAAAATTCATGGTTTGCATTTAACTGTATAAAACAAAAAGCGCACTTCGCACTTTTGAGCCATGAATGCAATATAAGAGCGACAGTCAAGTCCCACCATTCGATCAGGCAAGAATAACCAAAGAGCTAGTAGTGGCTACTGTTGACTGTCTGATCTATCTGTTCAGAATAAGGGACGACGATTATCCACAGATAGTCACTTTAACCAGTATTCATTTGCAGTCCTTTACATGTGGATCGCCCCCCCCCCCAGTGGCACAGCGGTGTGTCTGCGGACTTACAACGCTAGAATCCGGGTTTCGATACCCGTGATGGGCAGAGCACAGATAGCCCATTGTGTAGCTTTGTGCTTAACTAGAAACAAACAGACAACCTGATAAAACAGAAAACAGATAAAAGTGCTAAACCAAAAACAATTTGGAAATATTTATAAATATCAAGAGAGCTGTGCCATCTGTTGCTATTAACTAGTCACAGATACACATTAACGAAAGCTCCATAATAGAGACCTCGTCTTTCCAACAAGTTGACCTTCAATTTTGAGTTCACTAATGTGAGAGAATATGCATGATGCCTTTTTGCCTTGCCATCACGTTTCGCTTCTTGCCCATAATGTCATTTTGCCTTCCGTCTCGTCTCATCACGTTTCTCCTCTTGCCCATACTGTTTTTTACCTTGCCATTACGTTTCGGTTCTCGCCTAAAACGCCTTATTGTTTTGCCCTCGCGATTCGCCCATTGTATCTTTTTCATTTTAATACGTTTCATTTCCTTTTTCGATTCTTGTTCGTAATGTCTGTTCTCCCTTTCCTTCACGTTTTATTTACAATATTTATATATATATATATATTTTTTTTGCTAAGTGCCATCAGAAAATAAACCCATTTTACAACAGTTTGTCTCAACGCGATCAAGACTGCTTTAGAAGTACCACTTACAAACAGAAAGAAACGCCGAATAAACAAATAATAAGAAGAAGAACGCAAATGATATATATATATATATATATACGTAAATAATATTTTCCTATTGGTCCATCGTTTCTTGACTTGTTTTCTTTAAATGAGTTTAACTCAATGTATGTATGCATTTTTGTTGTTGTTTTTTAGAGCAAAGTCACATTCAGCTATCAGCTGTGTACATCGCGGGGAATCTTACCCCGGATTTTAGCGTTGTAAATCCGTAAATAAGTTTAACTCGTACATTTTTGTGCACGAACCAACTCGGTTTTTGCGTTTTGATGTGACAAAATACTTTTATGAGAGGACTCTGCAAAACCTCTGACGATCTTTTTTTTATTATTATTTTCTTTAAGTCATTTGCCCCCTGGTGGCTCAGCGTTAAGTCTTAGAGCTAATAAACGCTGAAATCATGGTTCGATAACCCATTCTATAGCTTTTTGCTAAAAACAAAACAATCAAATCAAACAAATCTTTAAGCCAAGTAAAAGATGGATCTGCATTCCTTCTTTAGATGAACTAAAACAAATGCCCCCCAGTGGCTCAGCGGTATGTCTGCGGACTTACAACGCTAGAAACCGGGTTTCGATACCCGTGGTGGGCAGAGCACAGATAGCCCTTGTGTAGCTTTGTGCATAATTAAAAACAAACAAACAAACAAACTAAAATAAATCAAAATCGTTATCTTGGGTGAATCCTAGATCAACAAGATTCTGGGCAAATGATAGAAGTTTCTGTGACGAGAATCTTTGAAAAATGTTTGAACTGAAAGTGCACTTAGGCGTGTATCTCACAACGGTAACACTCTTTATGATCCAATCATATTATACATAAAAGCAAAGCTATGAACCATAAATAGAGTTGCATCTAGAGTGCTTGTAAGACCTACAGTCTTATGTTGCTGTATTTTCACCAGTGGTTTACGAAAATATAACTCACAGGTTTAAACAATGTACATTCTTTAAAAAATCATATCGCTTTTTCCACCCTTTTCCTGCTTCGGACATGGAGGCACAATGTTGGTGGCGAACTTCGAAAGTAATATTATAAATATTAAATCGCACTAAAAATAATGATAAGTCAAATTCTAGCAAATTAAACCTGATACTTTTAACTTCAGAATTAAATATGGTAAAATGAAAATTAACTGTAATTTTCTATTTCATCTGTAGTCGTTGTATAGTAAACGAAATTTAAAATTTGAGAAATTTACCCCAAAAGCTACCAAAAACCAACAAAATATGATAACATACTGGACTTCATATCGACCATCCTCAATATTTTTTTGAAATTTTCACACAAAACATTTAACGGAAAAAGTTTGTAATTTTAAAAATAGGAATTCTCGATTTTTTTTTATCAAATATGTTAGAATATTCTAAAGTATTGTTTGTTTGAAGTTGAGCACAAAGCTACACAATTTGCTATCTGTGGTCTGCCCACCACGGGTATCGAAACCCGGTTTTTAGCGTTGTAAGTCCGCAGACATACCGCTGTGCCACTGGGGGGGGGGGGCATTCTAAAGTAAAAGTAACGATTGGGATTGAGAGTCATAGTAAAATACAACGTTCAAAATTTAACTTGCTTTCCTCTGGCCATCTTACCTCAAAATATAGGGGCTATAACTGGGATTGAGAGTCACAGTAACATACAAAGTTAAAGTTTTAACTTGCATTTCTCTGCCCATTTTATCTCATAAATAAAAATTCGAGAAAATCCTGCACCAAAGTTTAAAATCATATTCTTAGATTTTTATAACTTATGTTACTGTTTTTGCATTTCAGTTAGTTTTATGGACATTAGATCCTTAAATCACACAATACAAAATGTTATATATGTTGTAAAAGAAAAGTAAAGGAAACCAAAACCACATAATACTGGCATGAACTTAATCAGCGCTAAGTTTACGGACTTACAACAGTAAAGTCGAGGGTTAGATTTCACGTGGTGGGTAGAGCGTCGATAGTCTATTTTGTAGATTTGCGTTGAAATAAACAAACAAACAATTGCACTAAAAATACGGTCTGTGGCAACACTTCTGAATGTGTTACACGAGAGCCAAACATAGCAAACAACAACAGTAAAAGGGAAAAAAAAGTTGGGCTCGGACTTTTATTTTATTTTCTAAGTATTGGGCGAAGTTATCTATGTTGGTTATTAAGCATAAAGATATACAATGGACTACATGAACTGTGCCCAACGCGATTTTTTTAGCGTAATAAAACTTCAGTCTTACCTGGGGGCGTGAAATTATTAATTAACTTTTTAAATTTTTTATCTAAGAATGATTACAAAAAATCTGACTAATTACTACTATAGATGTTTGTTTTAAGCGCAAAGCTACTCGGGGATCGAAACTTAGATTTTAACTTTAAAGACCCTAACCTAAAGCAACCTGGTTGATATAGATGTAAGTTTACGTACTTTCAAAGACAAAGTTGAGTAGGTTTCAAAATGTACAGCATAGGTGGTTGATAATAAGCTATTGCGAACCAAAACCAAGTGAAATTTTCTATATTTAAAGATGCTGTGATTTTATTGTCTTGCATGAAGCACATATATTGTTTGTATATGTAGCATGTTAACAGTTCATAGACAGCCTTCAGGTTCAGATTTCTATCTTCCCGATAATCTGCGTTAATTATAAATGTTGATCACGTGCGATCCAGCAGTTGGCGTGTCGGGCTGTGTATTGAAAGGTTCAAGATGCGATGCCACGGAACACGCTCCGCATATTCAGCCATGGGCGTTATACAAGTGACAATCAATCTGTTATCCAGTTCTAGAAGTTCAGAATTTGGGAAGGTTACACGTGGACTCCAGCTTGTGTATGTGTGCCGTTAAAGTTGAAAATATAAATACAAAACATTCTAGACAATTTAACTCGGATATAAAAATGCTTATTCCACCAGATACATATCTATATACAAAATCATTTCTTTCTTTCTTTATTGATCTTCTTTATAGGTTTTTTATAGTTGCTTGGTTTGTTTGTTTGAGCAAAGTCACATTGGGCTATCTGCTGTGTCTACCGCAGGGAATCGAACCCCGAATTTTAGCGTTGTAAGTCTATAGACTTACCGCTGTCCTACCGGGGGACTTATAGTTGCCCCAAGATCCTTTATTTTATCATACATTAACGTTGTTATTTTATTGTAGGTTGTTTGCTCATTTTTATTGTATTTTTTTATTTTGATTTTTTATATGTTGTCTTTGTTTTTAAATATTATAACCTTTTGTGATTCATGTCTAACCAAGTTAACTCGATTCGTTTCTATTTCTTAAAAAAAAATCATGGCAGTATTTGCACTTTGTTAAACTCTCTTTGTTTATTTTATCATTAAAGAAAATTTACCATATTGCTTTTATAGTTTCATCCATGATTTGCCTAGATAGAATTTTTAGTATAAAATAATTGGTTTCTACATTACACATATCACATCGCGAATAAAATTACGGCAATTTGAAATCTACCCTATATGAATGAATATATATATTTCAAATTAGGCAAGTATTTTTTATGATAATCAATTCTGTGGAGATTTTATAATGACCCTCTCCATTTGATTTTGAAAGACGATTTCCCCAAGTTATTAAATATGTACTGAATGTTAACCTAAAATATTTCACAACCTGTTTGTTACATTAAGAAATCAATAACCGAGCCTAGTAAAATTCTGTGTGTCTTGATTAATTAATCAAAACACATTAAATTATACATTAGAATTTTAAAAACCAGTACATTGTGAATAGTTTTGTTGCAATGATCATCGTTTCTAAATATTAAACAGACAGTGTTTACGCGTAAACCAGTTATTGAAGAAATTTTTCGCCATCTCGAAATACACGAGATTATTTTGTCACGTAGGCGTATCACTGGCAGTATCGTGTCATCACGTTTGCAGGAAGTTTTATTAATGAAAGGTTTGGCAACCTAAATTTAGCAACGTGTGGGTGTTTATACTGTTTTTTTTTCTTATATGTTTGAAAAATATATCGCTTGGACGTCATTGCAGTAGCCACAAGGTCTCTGCTGCTAAGTTCTGCTACTATAGTTAATAAAGTGGATTCACTATTACTTTCTACTTTAAGTCGTGTATACATAATACAGTACGTCACATCGTATCTGACTTAATGAGATCTGCCACTGATGCTACTTTCATAACGAAGAAGGATGCGAAGGGAAAGCCACTGAAGTAGCGACTAAGAATAACCATTTCGAAATATGAAAGGCACGTGCTTCGTGAAGTTAGATACACTGCAGCACATAGGATGACGAAACAAAATTTCTCAAGAGTCCGCCTGGATAGCTCTGACCACTTCCAATACATCGTCAACATATTTTGAAACACTGATAATTGTTTTTCGAAAGTGAATGTTGTCGCTAAGTGGGTGTCTAAATCGCATTTTAATGCCAACAGGAGCTTTGATGATAGATCTTCGCTTTACGTTTGAAAATATTTTATTTCTATTGATCATTGAAGCTTTTAGCAACCAATATAATCTTATTCATAATATTTTAAAATATGAATGAAATTATAAATCATTAATTTTAGTAGTATTGAATTTTTTTTTTCAGTTATTAGCCACTTTCTTCAGTAACTTAAATTCTAAAGCACTTATATTTTCATAAGATTATTTGTTTGTCTGGTGAATTTTGCGTAAATCTTTTCGAAAAAAAATTAGCACATAGAATACAAATTTGAAGTATTCCTCAAGTTTTATATAAAAAAAAAAACTAGCAGCGTTACCCGGCGTTGCTCGGGTTTTGAAAAACAAAAACAAAAAAAAACTACTCTCTGTTTCCCCATTACATATTTCGATAGGTAAAAAATATTTTGTGAATTTATGAAAAATACACATTAGGTTTGAAATTTAAAAATAAACTACGATCCTGTTTTAAATCAGGGTTTACTAATGAACGATTTTTTTTTGTTTTGTTTTTCCTTCACTCGCAAGGATAAATAGGCCCTCATGGAGAATATATAGATTATCTTATACACGTATGAGTACCCGTTCTAGCGAACAGGATAAGCCTAGCTCCATTACCCCCATCCCCCGTCATCCCTCCTGAAATACTGAAATTTCAAACGTAAATATGTATGTAAAATTATGTTGAATTTGCTTTAATGTAAATTTAATATATTTTTATGAATGTGATACCGTATTCGCATTATGACATTTATGTATGAAATATACTACAAACAAAATGCAATATTGTACTTTCTAATGTATCAAAAGAAAAAAAAATCCACTTCCAGGTATCTAACCACACTGAGAAAAAAAAGTAGAATAAAATACATTTGCTTACCTGACTTTAATCTCATTTTACACAATAACTTTTATAATGTAAGCCTTACTCTTTTCACGTAAACAGCATAATTTTATTTTATAGGCTAGGCCTAGTGTTTGCTTTTTCACACACAACATTCTAATTCTGCATATATTTCTTTTTTGTGCGAGGTTAAATATATGATGTATTAGTAGATATATAATTAATAATATATAACTAAATAAGCCTATCTATTCTAATGCTAATTAATAAAAAAATACAATTTCCAGGTTCAACCCATCTTCCCCCTCATTCAACTGCTCTACCGGTTACGTTGACTTGACTTTAATCTCATTGTACACAATCAGTATTATAATATAAACTTTACTTATTTCCTATAGTCTATTTTATGGTTGACGGCATAATCTCATTTTATAGGCTAGGCCTACTGTTTGATTTTTCACACACAACATTCTAATTCTGCATATTTATCTTTTGTATGTGAGGTTAAATATATGATGTATTAGTAGATGTATAGTTAATGATTTATAACTAAATATGCCTATAATACTATATTCTAAATTAAATGTTAACTCATACTTACCAAAAAATGTCAAGTCTGCATAGAATTTATTCATGTAATATATATGTATATGCTAGCAGACGATAGACGTGTATATCAAAGAAAAATTGTAGTTTTGTGCAACTTCACGTGAGGGAGGTGTGACATGCGCAGTGAATAGTGCGGACAAACAAGCAACCAAGCAAACAAAGAGATTTTAAGTTTTACATATAGATGTCAGCCTCTGTTAAAAGACACTTTAAGTCAGACCTGATGCTCTTCCTCTGTCTTATCAGATCGCACGCTTTTGAACTTTCAGTTTATTAAGGGTAGTTCCGACAAATTTGCTGTATTACTTATCCTTCTTGTTATTTTAAAAAGCTTGGATTAGGTCACAACTCAAATTTAAAGTATCTTTGCGGTATCTTAGGGTTCTTAAACAGGAATCAACTTTGTTTATGAGACTTCCTTTAGAAAACTTTATATTCTATTAGTTTTTGATATTGAAGCAAATCTCACTAAAGGTCAAGGGTCAAACATTCTTCTATGCCTAACTAGGGAATAAATTGCTTTTACATTTTTCTTTCTACAAGGTAGTTAAAAAAAAGTAATAAGAGGAACAGTGAAGTGTAGCAGAAAATACTTCAACTGATATACCAGCTATTTTCGTTCGATGATATTCATATTGTGACATGATCATGTAATGGAACTAATTTTTTATATGTTTACTAGCAGAGACCTACAAAAAATTTGCGGTCAAATTACTATTTTTATTGCAACACTTTAAATACAGAATTTTTAGAATAATACAAATAATTCTATTACAGACATCGAAATCTGTAGGTCCATTTGTCTTAAGCCTTTACCAAGTACGGCCTGTATTCGATAAAGAGAAAGCACTGTAACTTGTGTGTGTTTTTGTTTTAATTGTTGTTGTTGTTTTGTTTTTGTTTTTTTTTTATGCTGTAGTTTAGTTAAGGATAAACTTTACCGTACTTAATACTATCAATAAGACCCACTCCTCCCCCCCCCCACCTTCTCATTGGCAAAGCAGTATGCCTGTGGACTTACAATGCTAGAAATCGGGTTTCAATACCCGTGGTGGAAAGAGCGCAGATAGTCTATTGTACAGCTTTGTGCTTAAACTACAAACAAACAAACAATACTATTAATAAATATATTATTATGTTATTCTGTGACCTAACGTTACACCTTTTTAAAAACTTTGATAATCTTTTAATATGTTGTTGTACAAAATGTCTGCTAAAATACATTTACATCCTTCTTTTGTTTACATCTGTTGAAATGAATTGTGCGCGCTTGTGCATTTAGATAGTAAGATGAGTATTATTATAATAGATTATATAGATTGTTTTACATTGTTTGCTTAATATATTGATTTAGTACTAAGCTAAATCTGTTAAGCTTGGCCAAACCTTTTGAGATATTATTGGGATTATGGCCAAAAATATAGCAAGGATAACCACTGATGAAACAGTGCATTCTAATCTTTATAAGTAGAAACGTAAGAAAATTATATATTTAATTAATTAGCTATACTGATTGCCAGGTTAATTTTTTAGTTTCGCTCTAGGTACATAGCTTGCTCTGATCGAAAATTAATAGTAATTGCTATGCACCTGGTGTTTTATTCTTTATGCAAAAATCGTAAAACCAAGTTTCGTCATTTTCATTGTTATATGACTTTATTATGAAGTTTTAATTGATTATTGTACCTGTAATGTGCTAGTTAACAACTTATGTTATTTTTTAGGTCAATTTGGGAATCAAGGTCAAGCTACGTTTTACTGCCGAATTAGGTGAGTATTATTCTTATTTATGTAATTAGCGATGACAATTTTCTACTTCAGAGGTTCTTCTATTGAAATGTTGAGAGTAGGAAAGTTCAAACGATTATACTTGATATAAGATTATTCGTACACTTAATTTTTTTTTAAGTGCTGTCATTTTTCAAAAGGTTTAACAAATAATTCCGGTGTGAAGGGGTGTGTGCGACATAAGGTTTAACAAATAATTCCGGTGTGAAGGGGTGTGTGTGCGACATAAGGTTTAACACATAATTCCGGTGTGAAGGGGTGTGTGCGACATAAGGTTTAACACATAATTCCGGTGTGAAGGGGTGTGTGCGACATAAGGTTTAACACATAATTCCGGTGTGAAGGGGTGTGTGCGACATAAGGTTTAACACATAATTCCGGTGTAAAGGGGTGTGTGCGACATAAGGTTTAACACATAAACCTTGAGCTTAGATACACTTGATACCTTAATATCATATGATCAGAGCATGTTATGATTCTGAAAGTGTTTTGCCATACTATTTTCTTTATAGTGCATGGCTAAATTCACAATCACATAGTCTAACTTCACTCTTTCCACTTTTACTTTCACTAACTTTTTTCCATCTAACTTTGTCACCTATATATATATATATATATATATTCGAGATGTTATGATGTAACAATACTCAGCTAAAGCAACAAGAAAAATTCAGAAGGTTCCCAGTAACATGTCTTCTATTCACAACAATTGACCTATGCAACAAATGATTCATAATCGGTAACATAAGCAAACTTGAACAAAATTATTGCTTCTAAAATACTAAATTTAACACTCATGCTTTATAACTATCTAATTCCTAACTCTTGTATTAAATTTAAATGAAACAGTTGCATATAGCTAACAGTGTCAAATGATTGATTCTGTAGCTCAACTGGGTTAAGTACAACACTTTTTAACATCTCCAACTATCACACCACATGTCAAAATAATTGAAGTCAAAGTATATTTATATTAAGACAAATTTTGTCTTTGAAGTGGTGTTATCAAAAATTTATACAATTAATTTTATAACCATTGAAAAAACTTGTACTTTTGTATAAAAGACAGTGATTTGATTTTCATGCTGATATTACTTGTGTGTATTATTGTGGTTTGAATAAGTGACAGAAGTTATTCATTTTACAAACATTTATAAAATAGATCAAATTCCACTTGTTTTTACATACTAATGTGACAAGTTGTTTTTGTTAATTATTCATTCTCAAGTTTTCTCACAACCTCTACATAAAACTTTACAAACCACACATTTAAACAAGAAATTAATATCTGTATATTGTAAGTGAACAATAAAACATATTTTCTTGTTCCATGGCTTTGTACTTAGCTAAACGCATAATTAAGCTATTATGTTTCTATCATTACAGACAGTACAATAGTCTTAAGATGGGGTTTGAGATCTCAAACAAGAAACCACAGTACAAACCTTTCAGCTTCACTTTTCACCTGAAAGACTTGGTGAATGATGACACCAGTGTTGAGGAGAGCAATCATAGTAGTTGTTTGATAGCCACGATTGTTCCTATTTGCTCAGCATACAAAGGTGGATATTTGCTTTCCTGTTTACATTATCATTTTTAGCTTTAAAATTTTGGTTTTAGTAAATATATATATATATATATATATGTGTGTGTGTGTGTTTTTTCAAATCATTATGTAATAATGATTCGATAAAATTGTGATATTAGAATGTGAAGTTGGGAGTTCTTTCCCATACTGACTCTGGTGGAAGTGTTTCAGTTTGATTAATAGAAATAAAGTTATAGATCTTACAGAATCAACATATTTATTGAAACTGAATTTTTAAAGATAATTTTAGTAATAGTTGCAAATACAATTATCCTGTCTTTTAGATTCTGTTTTTTTGTAACATTTAATTTATAGAATTCTGGGTTATGATTAAAAAAAACCTTTTTTTTTTTACAAAAGAGAATGTTCCTTTCACAACTCTTAAACACAAACTGCATGACAGTACTATTTATTAACTTAAGTATACTTGCTCTAAATTTCTCTTTCAACTAAAACGGGTAATTTGACAGTTTGTGTGTGTGTGTGTATATTTATCTTTCAATTTACTCTTTACAGTTCCAGAAGAGGTTCCTGCTATGACAACATTTTCCACTCGCCATACTTCTTCTTGTCACTTCAGTCATATTGATGAGAGGTAAAAGCAAATAGTTTGAGTCTCGATTAAACCAAAAAATTGTCCTTCATTTCTGAGCCATATTTATTAACAGTAATGGGCAGAAGCATTATTACTAGCTTTTTATTATGTAGCTGCCTTGTAAATATTGTATTTTAGTCTAGCTACCATTTAAAACTGGAATGTGAGGTTCGTAATGTGTTGTCACTATGAGTGTCATGTACTATATATATATTATACAAATTTAATTATTTTGAAAACACTTTAAAAAGCACCATTATGACTTTATTGTTAAGATACTTAATGTTCACAAAAATATAAAATTAATTCATGATATAATATTTACTGGAACAAATAATTGTTTTGTTTGGAAAAAAATATTATTTTTATTTTGTGTTTTTAAAGCTTTTCTGAGTTTATTCATCAAGCATTTTCTTTTCTATAGGGCTGTACCTTTTATTGGTTACCTTCCTCAGGATATTATTGGCAAATCTGTTTTTGAATTTTACCACTCTCAAGATCTACCACAGTTAAGAGATGTCTATGAATTAGGTTTGTGATTTTAGCTTGTATTTTTTCTCTTTTGCTGTGAGAAAAAGTGAAGAGACTAAGGTGGTTTACTATAATCAAATATAATTACTATAATTAAGAGTATTATTTTACCACTCTCAAGATCTACCACAGTTAAGAGATGTCTATGAATTAGGTTTGTGATTTTAGCTTGTATTTTTTCTCTTTTGCTGTGAGAAAAAGTGAAGAGACTAAGGTGGTTTACTATAATCAAATATAATTACTATAATTAAGAGTATTATGGTCACTAATAAGAGACTAAGGTGGTTTACTATAATCAAATATAATTACTATAATTAAGAGTATTATGGTCACTAAAGTAAATTTCAGATAGAATAGTAGACATTTTTTCACTCAATTCTTTAAATACTGATAGAAATAATGCTATGACATAACAAGTTTACAGGTAGAAAGAGATGTAACAAAGCAAAATACAAACTTTAGACATATAGATACAACTAGTATCATCTTGTCAAAATAATTTGACTACATAATTTTATATAACATGTCTCATCTTGCCAGAGTAATGTGACTATGTAAGTGGCATCTCACCAGGGTAATTTGTTTCATAATTTTACGTGCATGTTGTCTTTTCAGAGTATCTTGCTTCATCATTTCACAAGTGCAAACATGGTGTAACAGATAACAGCTATATTTTATACATTGCATTGTAAATTGAATTAATAACTTCTTTATGCAGGTTAAGATGTTTTATATAGTTTCATAGTTTTTAAATTTGTAACTGAATTTGTTTTTGCTTCCTTTTTATTATCTTCTGTGGAAGAAGTATCACATAATGTCCATTTTCATTATTCTCTTCAGCATGATAAAGTTTCATTTGATAAGTTTTTTAAAGTCTCGCATGCATAAAAGTATTACCATAATTATTGAAATGCATCATATGTGTTTGTTTTCAAAGCAACATTGCTTTTAACTGAGTTTTTCTGACACAATAGACAAAGTTATTAATTTCTATGGGTTTTGAGTTCATTTTAATTCACCATATAGTAACTTAAATTAACATATATAATCATTAGAGTTATTAATTGTTAATTTGTTTATATGCAAATCTTTACAGTGATTATGTTCTTTATTTTATATTTACTTACCTTATGTTATTTCTTCGCTATTGCTGTTACATTTTGCAAAACAATGGAATTTTAATTTATAAATATAATTGTGACATTATATATTTTGTATTACCTCAGTGATAAAAGAACAAGGCCATTCATTCTGGAGTAAACCATATCGTTTCCGAGTCCTCAATGGTTGTTTTATCATACTGGAGACAGAATGGTCCTGTTTCATCAATCCCTGGTCCCGAAAACTGGAGTTTGTTATCGCTAATCACCGAGTTCTGAAGTAATTATCATTTAGTTTTCTTTGATTGTGCCTCAACATCTTATTATTTCTTTTTCTTTTTTTAGTTAAGGTTCATATTTTGAATGTCTGTCATCTATTACTTTATTCCACAGTATTGACTTTCTGATATGTTGTAGGACAAGAAACATTAACTGATAAAGCATTATAATTTAATTTCATTTTTTGTGCTTCAGTAGGTATAAAACACTTCCTTGTCCTCTTTGTTACCCCTCTTTTTTTCTGCTTTCATTAGGGAAGTGTGTTTATTTGAGTAGAGACTAAAATGGTTTATACTCATTAAACTTGTAAGTACATTAGAGGTATCCTGCAGATGTGCAACTCCATTTTTACCCTTACAAAAAAGGTGAAAGTTCACAACTTGATTTGACTATAAGAAATTAAGATATGTAGTTTTGATCCAATTTAGGGTTATTGAACCCAGGTTTGGTGCAAATGTGACTAAAACTGAATTTGGTATTAATGTAGTGTTACTGTAAATATACAAAGAGTATTACTCAAATGCAAAAGATATTTTTATGGTTATAAATGACGAATTTACATGAGTGTAAACAAAGTTAAACATTAATGTGTCAGTTATTAATATAACAGTATATGACGCTTGATGAAATGTTTCATTTTTAGTATAACATTTGAGCATAGAATAAATTTATTTGAAGATGGATAAAATGCAGTGTAAGTAAGATATTGTTAGGTGTAGAAGTTAGATGTGGATATATTATGAGATCTAAACTCTTGAAGTGTGAGTGAAAATGTTTTATGTTATTTTAGTACAAGTAGTTACTCTGAGTATAATGTTTACAAAGGGATACAATTTATAATCAATTTTTGTTTCTATTCTCTTCAGAGGTCCTGAAGATCCTGATGTATTTGGTGAAAATTTTCGTGAGGAAGTAGCATCTTCAGAAGATGGAATGAAAGAGAGTCAGAAAATTCAAGATGACATAAGACACATTCTATCTCAGGTATAACTTTATGATGAGTCTCTTTGTTTTCACAAGTGCATTTTAAAGCTATATTTGCATTTTAATGTATTTTTTGTGTCGTATCTTTAATTTTTATGTCTGCTTTTGATTCCTTATAACTAGTTTATTCATACCCTTTCTTCAGAAATTAGCAGTAATCTCATAATAACCTTAAACTGAATAAATAGCTGATTTCATAAACAGTGGAAACTAGTTAATCATTTTATTCCTCCAGAACCCAAGTTTGAAAAGATTTGATATTAAAGTCCAATTGTATGCTGTTTTAACACTAATGATGGTTTTTGAGTAGCATACAATCAGCAGTTCAAGTTAATTCATCCACTTTTTGAAAAAATATACTCATTAATTTAAACCCGTGAATGTGTATCATGTTCTAGTGAAAATATAGCTTCTATGATGTCCATTATTGTAATAACAAAAAGGTTTTGCTTCATCATTTCATCATTGGAAGTTGATCTTTAAATTTCAAGTTTTTCTCTATTACCACCATTTTTTTAATGAACATGGTTTTCATTATTTATCATGAATTTGTAGATTTAATTCCACTCGCATCATTTTCAAACCGTTTGTAGTGATGGTTTTACTTTCAAAGCTATTATGGGAAAGACGTTTATACAATAAGGTTGTTGTTTTTCTCAGCTATAAATACTTGTTAACTTTATTACATAAGAATCTTCAGGACAGTCTCATGATCTTAGTGGTAGTAGCGACATCGCTTTAAGTTGACATTTTTGGTAGCATTAATCTGTCATTTTGCAGCATGATGTAAGCTTTCATAAATCCTTTATTTTTAGATGTTTAATATTCTCCTATATTCAAAACTATCAAAAAAGAGAAGGAATGAGGTACATCTCATCATTAGCTATATGTGTGCTCATTATTTTTATAGTATGTTCCACTCTGTTATTTCTGTGTTGAGGAAAAATGTTTAAATGATATAAATCATTTACTTTATTAAAGATGTGGTTGTAAAAGTTCATGTCAACTGAATAATGATGATAAAAGTTTTACACTTTAACAGTTTGTTGTGTAAAATAGAAAATAACTGTTATCTCATATTGGACATGGCTACTTAAACCAAAAGATAATCTAAGTGAGTGGAATATCAGGAAAATCACCAGCTGAGGCACTGGATATGTTAATCTTATGTCCTATAGTTTTGGTTTCATGTAGGTAGACATATAAACATTACATGTTACAGTTCAGTAAGGATCGGAAAATACAATTTTGATTACATGACTTCCTTGTGTAATATATTGTATATATATTTAGACACATAAAATAAAATGTTCATACTGTTGCTGCACCTATATTTCCATGTAAGTTGTACATGAGATTCTTATTTATGATAGTTTGTGGTGTGTTCTTCAGAAAACTTGATTATGTTAATTTAAGAAAATTAATGGGTGTAATGGAAGAAGCTTAAAAATACTCTATAGCACAAACTTAAAAAAATTAGCTAAACGTTTTCATATAAAGGAATAGGTGTTACAGCCTCAAAAAAACTGCTTTTAAAATATTTTATTGGGTGAGTAATCAAAGGGGAAAGAAATTCATAAGTGATTGTGTGAATGATTAATCTAATGATGTAGAAATTGGAACAAAGTCTTTTGTTCTTCAAAGCTTTCTTGGCTGAAATATAATTGGAGAGTGCAAGTACTAAATATATTACTCTCCCATAGTGTTTATTTCATGTATACAAAATTTAAAAATGTCCAAGTTTTAGTGTGAAATATATCAAATGTGCCAAATTTAGCCTATTGTGCTACCTTTTGTAGCAATCTACTTTTTCTTGGGATAGTTGTATCCTACTTGGCCATGTGTGTAAAAGATGGCATTGTGATTGTTACATGGAACAGAGATAGAGATACTTCAGGGTTCTTGTGATTAAGTTTTCTGGTTGATCAGTTATAAAAGACAAAAAAACGTGAATTCTAAATGTAGTTTCTGTTAGGCTTTGGGCAGATTCCCTTCTGTCTTCAGATCGAGAGTTAGAACAGACTTGTTTGTTCTGAAGGAATCAGTTAAGACTTAATGTTGAAATCTCATCTGAGTTCTAACCTTCTATTCATTACCTTTGTTATTTTATAATGAGCTTGTGAAATAGTTTTAGTAGTTCTCATCCAAGGGAAACCTTTAAAATATATGTTTTTCTTTTCTTCTGTTGATTATTATGATAGACTGTGAAGAGTTATCTTGATTACCCCAGCAAAAGTTATGGGAGGAAAAGAAGACAATCATTGGCATCTCTTGTCACAGGACTTGTAGATGGAATGGAAAAAACAAAGACGGAAGGTGTGTGTGGTAATAATATAATTTTTATATATCTTTTAAGCAGGAACTGAACCCATGATCTCTCACATGCCAAGACAAGCACTCTTTGAACTAAGTTAAAGGGCTAATCCACTAGCAGTTGCTAATAATGCACATTGTAACAATTCAAATAATTACATTCTTTTTCTTTCACAAATGAGGACTAGTTGTCCTCAGGCATTATTTCAGGGCCATGGGATGACAACTAGTTGGGCACCAAATTTTTTGGGGTCCAATGTATTTATTTATTTAACCCAGGATTTTTTTTTTTCTGATAAATATAAATTTAAATTTAGAATGAGATGCTTCTACATCTTACACATACCATAACATGATCCAGATACAACTAATTTAAAGCAAAGAAATAACACTTCAAAATATGCGATTGGTTGTATGTGTGTGTGTATATATATATTATAAAGTATTTTTAAATTCTACTCTTCATCATGGGCACCCATAGAACTGTTTTCGGGGGGGGGGGAGCAAAATATGTATGTAGGGGATCAGCTTTTACAGTGTAAGTCAACAGACTGAAAGAATATGTGTTATGTGTGCTTAAATGCAAACACAAATTTACAGTTTTAATAAAAATTACTAAAAATAGTTAGTTTAACTAAGATGTTAAGTTTACATCATAATATAAGAGGGGGCAAATGCCCCCTTGTCCCTTCCTACAAGCACCCATGTTCTTAATAAAATATCTTATAATTTTATTGTTCTTAGTCATTTTAACTTTTCATGAGATGTTAGTTTAAAAGAAAAAAAAATGGTTAAATGTGAACTTATAATTTTTTGTTGTTTCCAATAAATGTCAATAAGATATTACTTTTACTTTATTGTGGAAATCTGCAGAAAACGTAGCTCACAAAGTATTTTTACCTGACCTGTATATATTTAGAAAGATGAATCACAATACGAGAAACCATAAAGCTTTCAAATGCACTCAGATTATCAGGATTATTGTATTCATTTTTTTATTCACTTAGTTGTATATGTTTTCTTAATATCACAAGTTTAGGTAAGTGAATATACTTAATGTGGTGGCTGGACAGGTATCTATGAATAAAGAAAAAATAAATTTGACAGTGACTTAAACTCATTTTTATTTTGCCCTATCAGTTTAAGTAAGATGTTTATTCAATTTAGTCTTTCAATTTTCAACACGGCCAGTGCTAGTGTCATTCCTCCTCCCTCCATGCTAATGCCATTGATTAATCTAATTTTAGATTTAGACCCATTATATTTCTAATTGCAATCCTCACCACATCCACCTCCATGAAATTAAGAAAAACTGGAGCCAGGACCATTTCAACATGACATTAATCTACTTGGATGGGTGTGGGTGTATGTTAATATTAGCAAAAATTTGTAAATAAAAAAATATAGTACTTAAACATCTAACCAAACAGCTGTATAAAAGCGAAAAAGAAAATACTTCATTTCGTGTATTTTGTTTATTTTGCATTTCTTTATACTTTTTATATAGCTGTAAACTAAAATATAAAACTTAATTTTAAATTGACATGGATTAATCTTTCAGGCAGTGGTCTTTTCATTAAACAGGGCTGAGATCAACAAATCATGCTATTGTAGTATTAAAAATTTCATATACTTCCAATACCTAATATTATGTATTGATCTACTGGCTTGTCTACTAGCCAAGTTCTTATTATTTTGATTTCCTGCATATATAATAATCTTATATGAATAAATAAACAAACACATACAGAGAACATTAATTATTATATGGTAAAATGTAATTTTTACTGAAAAGGTGTTGAAAAAACATCATTACTGTAAAAGATGATTGTAATGTCTTGACATGTTAGTGTTGTTTTCACTAATATATCTTAAATGTATTTAAATATTTTAGGGGATAAGGAAGATCCAAGGGAAGATTGCAGTTGTTCAGTAAGTTTCAAAAATTAAATTTTCTCTTATTTAATAACATGATAAGTCAGTAATTTTCTCACATCAGGTCAAGCAGTTTTGGTTGGAGACATGAAATGATACTTGAATCATTAAAAAACTTGAGGTCAGAACCTATAAGTTAACCTATGTTATCCTTCTAACAAACTGATCAGTGAGGCTAACTACTGATGCTTTTTAGTAAAACCAGATTATACATAATAAAAGTTTTTAGTTTTTTATCTAGTCTAGACATAAATACAGTTCCAATACAATTTAGTTAGTTAGGTAATTGTTTTAGATTTTTATAGTAAATAATTCAATCAAATCTTATAGAATAATTTATGGTTAAAACAATTAAACAGTCAGCTGAGTCGTATTCCATTTAATTCACACAGAAGTAAAAAAAAAAGGTTAATAAGGATGTATAATTAATCTAGCTTTTATTAGTTGTGTATAATGTATACAAAATAACTAGTTAACTGTCGCTGAAAAAAACTGAAACAGATGTTTAAAAAGTATATTAATGTATCTTGCAGGAAAAGATTAAGAAACTGAAACAAGTATAAAAAAGTTATAGCCTGGTATTTTGAGCAAAAAAGACTAACTTTATGTGTAATTGTTTTTAAAGAAGTAGTGTTTTAGTAATAAATGTGTGTCTACTGTTTGAGAGAGAGAGAGCTCAGCATGAAACGACACCAACTACTAGTTTTAAATGCTTTTGTGTGACTTAACAACTTTTTTCACAAATACTAGCTCGTTGTAGAGAACAAAGTTTTACCAACCAAGCTCATTACAAAACCAAAGATATTATTTAATAGAGTTCTGGGGCTTCCATTTGTGCTATACTACAATTTTTGGAACTGTAATGTAGTCAATATTATTGTCCCACATTTGAAGTTTAAAAACTTTAATACTTTTATAGTATTCATTTTTAGATATTTGACTGGATGAAACTGATAATTAAATTATGAAGCATCATGCATTCAGTATTAGTTGTTGATGATACGGGCTCTGAAAATCTAAAATTTTGTTTTTATCAAAGTACAAGCTGAATGTAACTTTATTACAAACATGGGGCAATATTAGTTCATGAAAATGTGTAATTAGAAGATACAAGGTCTTTTTTTTTAGTGGTATACTGTTTGACTGTAATGTTATGGTAGCTTTGATGATAATAGATAATACTGTACAAAAGCTTGGAAATACATTTTGTATGTTAATTTCATGGTTGAAGTTTGGTGGTTGAGAATAGATACTTCAAAATTTGTAATAACAACAAGTTAATTCTTCCTTCAAAGGACCATGGCTATGTGGTAATGGGGGAAGTGTCTCCGCATCAAGAAACAAATGAATCAGACCCTTCTACTGAAACACCTCCATCTTTAGAGGACAACTGGTTTGAAGAAAACATTGAAAGGTAATACTACAGGCTCTTATTCATGATGATGTTTAGTTATTGTATGTGTAGCTTTTAATTGTCTTTTACTCATGAACTTGTGTATATATATATATAGGATTTGAAGAATATGTAGCACTGATCAACAAGTGTTGTAACTTTTATTTCTAAGACTTACTATTGTATTGAACTTTCTAGAGGGGGTATCATATTTCCTTTATGGTTTTACAGAAGATCTAATATTATTTATTATTTTCTGTAGCCAGTGCTATGTGTTTTTTAAGTGTCATAAGCTAGTTACAGTAAGAGTGATAGTATTAGACAGACCACATAGTAGGTTTAGTATATTGTTTTCATTGTAATTATATTTAACATTGTTATATTTTCATGACAGTTCAGGTATAGTATTATTTTGTATCTTCATAAACATTAGTTATCAGTTGTACTATAGGAAAATTACTTCTACTAACTTGATACAGTTTAAACAGTAACATGTGTCATTATATTTTTTCATATTATTATAATATTATACACTATATTATTTATTTATTGTTACTTTAATTAACAGTGCTGGTTGTACTATTTAGTATATCGAATATCATTACTTTTTAATTTTATTTTTTGTTATAATAATTTTATTACAAAGATTTTTTTGCATTGTTAGCTTAATATATGTATTTAAGACTAACCTAAATTTCCTAAGCTGACTGAACCTTGTGCACTATTATTGGGACTACAGCTGAAAATCTTGTTAACAGTGAAGTAAATTAACTATACTGATTGCCAGGTTAATTTTAAGTTTCACTGTGAGTGCATAGCTTACTCTGATTGGAAGTTAATATTAAA